GAGTGGTCGCGCACCGTGTCCAGGCGCAGCTTGAAGGCGGCCCCGCCCACTTGGACGTCGGCCTCCAACACGCCGAACTGCTCGTAGTGCAGCTGGTGCGCCCTGCAACTCCGCCCGCTGTCAAACTGCGCCCAGGCCCCGCCCCCTTACCTACGCTTTGACGTTTTTGAAGAAGGCGCGGCTCCAGGGCTCGAGCGCCAGCGCCTTGGCCATGCTCCAAACGTCCAGGTCGGTCGACGAGTTGAAGCAAGGCTCCCCCGAGGTGAACACGCCCTTAATGGTGACGTCATGCAGTCGGGCGGGGTCGTCGGCTTCGCGCAGCTCCCCCTGGTACTCCACAGTCCAGACCTTCATCGGCTCCAGGCACTTGATGTGCACGCCTTCAACACCCAGTCAAAAAGCCCCTCCAAGTCAAACGCCCAGCCACTCACCGCCCGCCTGATAGCTCAGCTCCTCCCCCGTGTTGAAGTGGGCGGAGTCGGGCAGGAGGGGCAGCTGCAGCAGCCCCAACTCCCCCACCTTGAGGTAGAGGAAGGTGTCCACTAGTCGCAAGGGGCGGCGCGCCGTGCCTACGAACAAACAGTCGCCCTCGCGATTGGTGGCGTTGAAATAGACCGCGTCCACTGCCTAGAAACCACGCATAAACAACCCGCCCAGGGGGCGGGGCTCGCGCCCCCCCTTCTACTTACCAGCGCAGTGTCGGGGAGTGGCTGGGGGCGTTCCAACGCCGTGTAGTAGTCGGGCGCCTGGGGGCGCAGCCTCCCGGCCAGCCTCTTGAGCCACAGCAGCCCCAACATCCACACGGCCTTGGGCCAGAAGAGGCCGCCCGGGCGGCTGTAGACGCCGAAAATCTTGGGCGGCGCCCGATCGAACAGCTTGGCCACCAGCAGAACCAAAGGAACCAGGCAAATAACCCAAAATGTCGCCATGCTGACGGTCACAGAGCGAATGCGTGCCCAAGCAAAAACAATGACTTGGACTGATAAAGCTGATGAATCTTAATTTTGTTCCATTTCAATTGTTCGGGAGGATCAGAAGGCAAACAAGCGATAAGATACGGCAGAGGCGTTAAAATGGGCAGGAAAAAAGTATGCCGAAACCAGGGATCGAACCAGGGACCTTTAGATCTTCAGTCTAACGCTCTCCCAACTGAGCTATTTCGGCTCATGACAGCAAACGCCATCAACGCCACCTCAACATTGGCCGATTCGAATGGACGTTTGGTCAACCGTCATCAACAGAATAAGACAAAAGTAAGGTTAACGATTGCAGCAAGCAGCGTTGCCGTCAATTATTAACTCCCAATCATAGATAAAGACAAGTTAGCGTTCCCTTATTTTGAATGTGGGTGTAGCAAGTCTCTAATGGAAAAGTCCTGATGGCAAATGCAGATTTTCGTTTGTACCAGGGCAGCAGCATGTTAGAAGAGGTAGCGAGAAACTCCTTTGCTCCCGCTATTTTTCCGACTTTGTGCATTTGCCACCAAAATTTTCGCAAATAGAGAGCACCTACAACGGGAAAAAAATAGCGTACCGCTAAACTCCTGCTGCTGATTTTTCGTCACTACCTTGTGTGGCTCATTGTCGCCTCTGTTGCCACTTGGGTTGAAAGAGGGTGAAAGAAAACAAGTGAAAGATGCAGTAAAATGTTCTTTATTGGTCAATTTGGAAAGTATTGGCTGTAAAACTCGCGAAACATTGCGAATATTCCATCGTCGTCGCCGTCGGAAGATTCTGGAGAACCCAGAAAAGTAACAATTTGACTTTCGTGACAACCCGGCCACCCTGTACAATGGTGCCAGATCGTTCCGATGAAAAAACCGTCTCAACAACGTTCCTGTCCAAATTTAAACAATTGACACTAAAAATAGCTATAAATAAATAATAATAATAAATAAATAAATAAATACTAATAAATCTATCCTTGTCTTCATCTATGGTATAGATAGCCCACTCACTCGCATTTTGTTGGACCCGCGCTAACCTGCTGCCATCTATGGACGCAAAGGCACAGCTGCGTTTTAAATCTGCTTGCGTGTTTGCGTCCCTGCTACTTGTTTTGAACGTTTGTGTCCTTACTATTATTGGTGACCGATTATTAAGAGATGTTTAATGAACAGTGGGAACACCTGTAACCCTGATCGAAATCCTTCTCAACTTTTCATTTCTAGGAAGTGCACACCTAAAAATATGTTGCTTTTATGTGTTATAATTTAAACACGAAAAATGTATGAGGTATCATGCATCATGTTGACATCCTCCATCAATCAATATGTAAATAATTCTAGTAATGCTGAAGCTTACCGCTTTGAAGATGTATCATCGCACTCACCTACACAGCAACGTTGAAGAATTTAACTCATTTTTTAATAAATTTCATAAAACACTTGTAGAAAGCAAGAAACAATGCCGGCACTAAAGTTGTTTACATCAATGCTATCRATTACATCGATTAGGCCACAGAACATACCCCCTAGGGGGGATATTTTGTGGATTGGACGACTTGTCACTCGTAACCTCTAAATTGGCAACTACGCCATAAACTCTCCCAGCCCTCCAGGCGATATTCTGTGCATTAAATCACTTGACTTAACTGGAAACTGTCCTGTACTCGTCATATTGATGTCTGTTTGGCGTGTGCGAAACAAGGTGGCGCAACCCTCAGGCCAAAAACCTTGTTCCGCGCAAGTCAATATGAGTGAGCCCCCCATTCTATACTTGTCTTTATCTATGGTGGTGTCAAAATCGGGGCCCCAGAAACCCAACAAGCTGTCATTGCCCCCCAACTAATCGCGCGCGGTTCCACTTTCTGCAGCGCCCCCGTATTCGGCCGCCCAATCCCCCCTTTTCGCCCAGCGAGCGCGCATTAATCCTACGGTGTTTTTCCGCTTTCACTCACGTTAATCATAATTAATCACTCGTTGTGTGTGTGTGTGTGTCACTCTCGAGGGACTTTGCGGGAACAGTGCGTGACGACAGCGCCCCCCTTTTCTCATTGATCGACCGATTTTGCGTGTGAAATTGGGGTCCCCCAGTTCGAGCCCCCTTCAGTGCAGCATGAGCTACCAGCAGGTGAGTGACGGTTGGCCCCCTTTTCGCTTGCAACAATGCGCTATTTATAGTCGTCAAGGTGAAAGCTCAGGGCTTATCGGCGGGGGAATTATTCAGCTCGGGAAAACCGGCAGGCCTTTGAAAATCGCTTTAAATCCATGTTTTTATCACAAAGTTTCACTGGGGGGCCCGTGGGCGGCGGAAAACTTGCCGAGTTTCTGTAGCCACGGGAAGTTTCACTTGAAACAAATTAAAAGTCTCTCTCTGCCTCCAGGGCCACGGACGCGGAGCGCCTCCCCACCCCAACCAGGGCTACGCCCCGCCCTCCGGCGCCCCCCCATTYCCCTACATCAACCCCAACTCCTACGGCTACYCGGGCCACGCCCCCATGCAAATGCCCCAACCAATGCCCATGCCCATCTTCCCACCCAGCGCCCCTCCACCCAGCAACGTTTACCCGCCAGGGGGCGGAGCTTATCCTCCATCAGGAGGCGGGGGTTACCCTCCGTCATCAGGCGGGACTTACCCTCCGTCAGGAGGCGGAGCTTATCCTCCGTCAGGAGGCGGAGCTTATCCTCCATCAGGAGGCGGAGCTTATCCTCCGTCAGGAGGCGGGGGTTACCCTCCGTCACCAAGCGGGGCTTACCCTCCGTCAGGAGGCGGAGCTTATCCTTCGTCAGGAGGCGGGGGTTATCCTTCGTCAGGAGGCGGGGGTTACCCTCCGTCATCAGGCGGGGCTTACCCTCCGTCATCAGGCGGAGCTTATCCTCCGTCAGGAGGCGGGGGTTACCCCCCTTCGGTGGGCGGAGCCTATCCTCAACCAGTGGGCGGAGCTTATCCTCCGCCACCTTCTCACCATAGCTACGCGCCAGCTAGCATGTTGCCGCCCACGTCAGGTGGGGCGGGATCGGGCGCGCAGTCGTCAAGGCCAAAGGTGGAGTTGCGCAGACGCGAGCAGAGAGAGTTGGCAACGTTGCTTGTGGTTTCAGGCCACGCCCACCGTGGTGGCGGCGCAGCCGTTCAACCCGCGAGCCGACGCCGAGGTGCTGCGCAAAGCGATGAAAGGTTTCGGAACCGACGAGAAGGCCATCATCAGCGTGCTGGCGCATCGGACCAACGTGCAACGGCTCCAGATCGGCATCGAGTTCAAGACGTTGTATGGAAAGGTGAGGTTGAAAATGAAAAATTGTGGGGAAATTTTCAGGTTTTTTTGTGTGTGTGTGGCGTGTTTAGGACCTGGTGAAGGACTTGAAGTCCGAGACGTCGGGCAATTTTGAGCGGCTGCTGGTGGCGCTGATGACGCCGCTGCCCGAGTTCTACGCCAAATCGCTGCACGACGCCATGGCCGGACTGGGCACGGAAGAAAACGTGCTGATTGAAGTGCTCTGCACCAAGTCGAACGCCGAACTGAGTGTGATCAACCAGGCGTACCAATCACGTGAGCGCTGCGCGATTGTGGGCGTGTTTTTGCTAAATGGGGCGTGGCTTTGCAGTGTACTACAAGCCGCTGGAGGCGGACATCAAGGGCGACACTGGCGGCACCTTCAAGCGACTGATGGTGTCACTGTGCAACGCTGCGCGGGACGAGAGCATGCTGACCAATCAGGAGGCGGCGCGCGCCGATGCGCAGGCCTTGCTCAGGGCGGGCGAGCTGCGCTTGGGCACCGACGAAAGCGTCTTCAATGCCGTGATGTGTCAAAGAAACTGGGCGCAGCTGCAGCTGATCTTCAATGAGTACCACCATCTGACTGGTGAGTCTTTTTCCTGCCTGAATCAAGGCGGAAATTCAACATTCACATTCCAGGTCACGACATTGAAAAGGCCATCAAGAACGAGTTCTCGGGCGAGTCTGAAGATGGCCTGCTGGCCCTGGTGCGCTTCGTCCGAAACCCCGCCGGGTTCTACGCGAAATGTCTGAACGGCAGCATGAAGGGGATGGGCACCAATGACGCAGACTTGATTCGTCTGGTGGTGACGCGCTGCGAAATCGACATGGTGGAGGTGAAGCGCGAGTACCAGGCCCTCTACGGGGTGTCTTTGGCCGATGCCATCAAGGTGAGGGCTGGTGGGGGTTTTTTCGAGGTTTGAAAAAATGTTCTGTTGCAGGACGAGACCAGTGGGGACTACAAAAAGTGCCTGCTGCACCTGATAGGGGAGGCCTAATTTTTCTACTTAAAATTTCCAGTTTTTGTCTATTTACTCGAATTGTATGTGCCTTTTTATATGCTATTGCAGCTGCTTGGGCCCTCCGGGCCCTGTTGCCAAACTGTTTTAATCTCATCTGTCACTGAATATACTATTTTTCAGAAAAACCGAGGGTTTTTCGTTTTTGAAAATTATTTTAAGCTCCGGTTACTGTTTAAAAAATCGTAAAATTGTGCACGGTGGTAAAACGAGCCTTGGAAGTTTTTTAAAAAATATTTGCAATTTTAAATAATTTTTTTTCAATTTTTGGGCAGTCGGAATCAGGCGAAACTTCCGAGGGGATTGATCATTTGGCAACGCTCACGCGCCGGCAGGCCGAGCGTGTCAACCGCCAGGAGGCGGGGCTAATCCCCATTCAGGACTGTTGCCAAACTGTGTTAATCCTTTGAGTCAGCGAGTACACAATTTTTCGGGAAAAGCCGGGGGTTTTTCCTTTTTTAAACTTATTTTAGGCTCGGATTGTTTTAAAAAAATTG